ACACCCTAGAAAGGGGGGGTGCCATATTGCCTAAAGGACTATTTCACTTTTACCATGCTACCAAAAGGGACAGGCATCCACCTAGTATCTTTTTCCCCACTAGGCTGGCCAACATGCTCTCTATTATCTTTTAAATCAGTCACATAGAGAACATTTCCCTCCTCCAAGAGGTGTATTCCATTGGCCCTATACAACTCTGGGCATTTGAGCACAGTCTCCACATGGGGGATTACCCAGCCCCCAGTTGCCCCATGGCAATTCTCAGCTTGCGGTTGACTTTCTGTCTGGCCAAATCAATACCAGAGGGCTGGTAAAGGAAGACAGTCATACTGTGTATCCTCAGTAAATATAGCTTAATTTTACTGTAGCATCTTTGTAGGCAAATGTAGGACTTCATTGGACAGGCGGGGGGAAAGTGGGAAAGAGCGAAGGAAACTGTTTTACCATGTTTCCTACTGTCTTTCCCCATCTTCTGGAATGACCAGACACCCCAGGTTCTTTCTCTGTCTTTTCCCATCTTTCCCCATCTTTCCCCCGCTTTCTCAGGTTTGGAGTCAGGTAACACTTGGCTCCTGCAAACAGACATGTGCTGGGGAAACTGAGCCCCATGGAGTCCCACTGGAAGTGTCCTTACATAATTGATGTCTTCCATGGGACTGCAAAGTACATGGAAGTGAGCCAGAACTCAGGTTGATGAAGTCCATAGATGGCTAATCCTCCTCAAGGAATCCTGTATTATCATGTCACAGGTAAACATTGATGGTTAATCCTTCTATAGCCATGAATGTTTTCCTACAACAAACAAGGCCCTACAACTGTTTAATGCGGTTAGTAGCTAGCTTCAAACTCTGGTGGCTAGACAACAAAAGCATAAAAAACCCCCCACCCAAAATCGTGTTCTGTGGTTTGTGTAATCATTGTCCAGGCCTCAAACTGGTTCCAGGATTTTCTATGTAATCACCTGCACAGTGAAACCATATGCTTTAATATTGGTTTGAAACTGACTCAAGTGGTCAGTATAGATATATACAAGGTTAATAGCAGCTGCTACTTGAAGCCCTTACTGAACATGTGTACACAGCAAACATAAAAAGGGGCAAGTAGATAAACCTCCCTTGCCAGTTTCTCTAGCAAATTGAAAAAACAAAAACAAAACATACATCTATAAATCTGACAACCAAAATAGAATCATAAGAAAAGTGAAGATAAAAGGAAATAAATCATCCTTGGATGCTTTTTCAAAAAAGCTTCAAGTTATCTGTAGATAGTTCCATATATTTTTATTTACTTATACATGGCTCATTAGATCTTGCTGCTTTATTTTGCATGTACATATTTGTCAATTTTGAATACATTTTTTGCTAAATCTTGTTGAACTGCTGTTCTTTTTTTTTTTAGGGGGGTCTGCCTCTACTAAGCTCTCCTCTTATTTCTGCCTCTGATACCAGAATTTCTCTTAATGCCCAAGAATGCATATTGTGCTAGCTAAAGGATTTCTGTATTACACAATGAATCTGAATTGTGGCAGAGAGAGAAAAAGATGTAATTTTTCACACAGCACAGGCATACCTTAGGAATTTATTAGCACAAGGTAGGTATATCAGGCTGTCTGTTTTCACAGCTTCAGAAGGGATTAAACATACTCCTGTAGGATAAGCTATGAGTGATTGATATATATGATCCAGTGTTAGTGACGGAATTCCCCTGTAGCTGAGCAGGGTTATCATATTCATAGCCAACTGGCTGGAAAGCAGTGACAGATTGGTTGGGTAGACTGGTCTTGTTCAAATCCAGCACAACGTTTTTCTCTTTTTTCTCTTTTTCTAAATCTTAAAACATGGTTTATGTGAACGGCCTAGAGACTCATGTTCACTGACTCTTAAAAAGCATGCATTCAGGACTGTATGACACATACCCCAATGTCTTGATGTAACTACTGAAAGAACTGATTTTCTTAGTGGAGTGGGCTCCAGGATGCCCCCAAAACATGCCCTGAATGGTTCAAACTCAATAATCTCCCAAAACCAGTGTTGTGTGTGCGTGGGGGGGGGGGGACTTAGAAGATTCCATCATACATTGCATCACAAGTTGATGTTGCAGTATTTGTGATGTTGGATCTTGGTCTCATGAAATAAATCTTGTTCCCATTAGACCCTATTTATATGCCATCCTGATCACCAAACCTTGAGCTGTGGCATGAAAATTTCCAAATGTTAGTCTGATGTTTGAATTTCAGAAAGTGAAATAAATGGCAAAGCATCATTTCTAATAATTGAAGAGAGTAAAATAGAATCAAAATCAGAATCATATTACTTTGATTGTTATCATCTTGCCTAGAAATGTATCTGAACCATCTCTTAGACCCTGCTAAATATTTAGGTAGGCTGAGATATTAAGGAAAGTAGGGCGTGATTTCCACTGAAGCTTCAATTGTGTTCCATACTTCTCTAGACCTGGGAAACATGGAATTTAAACATTGTACCAACTTTTGTTCTAATCACAGTTTGGAATCCAATATTGGATCCAAATATATACTCAATCACTACTGTATTCTGCATTGGTCTGATCTCACAGGAATACTATGTCCAGTTCTTGGCACCACAAATAAAGGCAGAGACTGACAAGTTGAACATGTCCAGAGGAGGGCAACCAAAATGGTAAATGCCTGCAAATCAAGTTCCATTAAGAGAAGCATAGTGATCTGGGTATTTTTAGCCTGGAGAAAAAAAGATTAAGAGGCACTGATATCATATTGAAGATGGCAAAAGCTTGTTTTCTGTTGCTCCAGAGTCGAGGATAGGCATGCCCAAATTCCAGCCCAGGGGCTAAATGTGGCCCACCATTACATTTCCACCAGCCCTCTCCCTTCAGGCCTCTCTCCCTTGCTTCATTCCTCCCTCTCCTCTCTCCCTTCCTTGATTTCATCCCCCCCCCCTTTCTTGACTTCCTTCCTCTCTTTGTTTGTTCCTTACTTCCTTGTTGGAGATCAGGGCCCTGGAAAAGGTGGGCTCCTCAGGAAGAGAGAAAGAGAGATGGCGGCCTTTTGAGTCCTTTCACCTCAATTAAGCGTTTCCTTTACCTTGGGTGGCTCCAGCCTCAGGCATCCTGCCCCAGTGGCCCCTTGTTTCTCTCTCTTCCCCTGCAACCTTTTCTTTATTTCTTTGCAAAGGAAGGCTCCCCAATTGTTCTGCTTGCCTCAGGCACTTGCTCCTGCTACATGGCCAGGAAGGGCACACTCTGGAGGCCGAACACCTGCCTGGCTTCCCTCTCTCGCTTCCTTTTCCACCCAACCTTCGTCCCATGTCGCTGCGCTGCATTTTCCAAAAAGGCTGTCCTTCACTGCGGCTCCTCCCTTGGGAAGAAAAGGGGAGAGCTAGACAGCAACTATAATCCCTCTTACCACAATCAAATCCTTCCCGACAGAAGGCCATGCCATGTCTGCTATAAATCCTTCAGAAAAGGAGACTGCACCAGATTCTGAAGCAGTATATGCCACTGTATGAAACAACTTGAAGGCACACAACAACAACCCTAATTAACTTGACTCTCTCATCAGCCAAAAGCAAGCCCACACTTCCCATTGAAAAATTGGTACATTTACATTGGTTAAAATAGTTCTTTGTTTTATATATTTTATTGTTCTTTTATGGTTTTTACACTACAAATAAGGCATATGGAGTGTGTTTAGGAATGTATTCACGTTTCTTTTTTCAAACTATAGTCTGCCCCCCCCCCCAAACAGGCTGAGGGACTGTGAACTGGTCATCGGCTTAAAAGGTTTGGACACCCCTGGACTAGGACATGGAACAAAGGACTCAAACTACAGGAAAACATTAGAAAGCAATTCCTGACAGCAAGAGCTGTACAGCAATAGAATATGCTGCCTCAAGGTGTGGTGGGGTCTCCTTCTCTCAAGGCAATGTTTCGATTGTGTATTTCTGTGTCACAGTGGTCTCTTCCAATTCTGTGATTCTTTGTCTACAGTTGACTATCTGCTTTTGTTTTCTGCTAGTTCAGAACTCATATTATTCTGCAGATACTTTTGTAGGTAAAAGAAGAGTAGCAAGATCTGCTTTTGTTGATTCACATGTCACACTAAATATTATGGTTTGTAAACTGTATTCTCATCCAAAGAAACATAGTGAAGAACTATGACTTCTGGCAATCTTAGTTTCCATGCTGTTTTCTTCTTCCTTCTGAGAGTGAGTGCATATGTGCACACTCAGATTGGCATATGTGGGGACTCCTGTTGTCATCTACGTTTTGGAAGCTGGTAAAAAGAGCAGGAAGTGATAGGTGCTGAAAATCTCACATTGTGCTTTTATATCTATCAAGAAAGCTCTGATGCTTCCATATGTATACAACATTCAAAATAGTCTGCAATATTACTCTGTATCCGCCGTAGCTTCAGTTCACAAAGAACTTGAAAGTGTTGTATAAAAAACAAAATAATCTGTGGGAAATGAGTTTATAATCTATTCCAATATAATATACATTTTTTGTTGAAAATATTGTTTGATTTTATTTTTGCTTCTCCTCACATTTCTTTTTTTTAATCTGTCATATCTATTATATTTGTGAGCCTGTGGGCAGGGATTGTTTTTCCCCCCAGTATATACCCTTTGTTTATAAAATTCCAAATGTTAAATAACACCACCACCAACAACAAGAACAAAATACAATTATGATGTTGGTGGTCATTCAGTTGATGGTAGGTAATTCTACCTACCAAACTTGCAGAGAATTCCTCAGTAGCCCCAATGATGGTAATGATAATGGGACCTTGAATTGACACATATAAAATCACTTCTGAACAGTTCAAATAATAGAGACAAGGGAAAAGGAAGAAAGGAACAGAAGGCAAGAATCCTGTTACATTAGTGAAAATATACTATCACAATATTTGATTTAGCTCAATAATAATTAATGACTTTCTATCAGTGTTTGGATTCTACATATCATGCTGAATAACAAAATACTCATTTCTTTTCTTTCTACAGCTAGTTGATATGGAAAAATGGGTATGTGTTTTGGAATTGCTTGATCCCAAATAATCCTTGTTTATCACAGAGTTGTAACTGTCTGTCTAAATATTTTTGTGTCTCACTGCACAAATTTGCTAAGCTCAAAGCAAAATTTTAAAGTGATTTTCTGACAGTAGCCATACTATTAGATTTCTAAATCAATTTTCATCATCTTTTGATGATAATACACAAGTGTTAGTCTTGCAATTGTAATTTATCATTGTGTACTGCATTAGCCCTATAAAAAGGGTTCTGCCTTGAAATTTTGAGCCTTGCAATTTCACCTCTAAATGTACATTGTTGACACTTCTTGTTGTTTCATTGTCTCTACTTGTCTTAATAGAGCAATGCATGCAAATACCGTAATCCTTTCTATATGTTTGTATAAGAGACCTATTGCTTTATTCCTCAAATGCAGTGCCTATCAATCTCTTCTGGAGCTTAATATACACTGCTAACTGTGTTAATTGCTTAGAATTATGCCTATTTATTTTAAAGTAATGATTTTTCAAATCTTTCAGTATATTTACTTCTGTATTTAGTATTTGTAACAATATCATGAATTAATGTAAACTGCTTCATGTTCTTGTGGTCAAAGATAAAGACCTATTATTAGTCAGGAAAAGCTAGTATAGAAGTTTGAAGAAATGGTTTCAACTTTACTCACATGTCTTCCATTTGTCTGTGTGCATGTAATTTTGTCAGTATTTAATTATGTTTAGAAATGTAGGCATGCAAGTAATATTTAGTAGACTGTCTTGAGCATGTATACTTTTTATTGTGAAAGTTAAAGTCTTTGTATTTGAAGTCTGTTGCATTTTTTTAAAAAAAGACAGAAATCTATTCTGGAAGACTCTGTATCTGCTTAATTCTGTGGTTTTGTATGGATTGTTATGTGGTTAAGTTTGTTCTTTCACATTATTTGGTTTCCTGTGCTGTAATGACTTAATGGTCTAGTTTTCTTTTCAAACTCTGCTGTTTTATAATCTTTTCCCAACAATTTGAAAATGAATTAGTTGAATTCTTCATTGATATTTCTATATCTTAGTACTGATATCACCAGTGAAAATTTACTCAAAATATAAACATACATGGTCTGCAACTAAAACAGTTAAACATTTAACCATCTGAAGAGAATGGTAAAATAAAAGATCCTCTCCTAGGGCTAAAACAATAAACACTATTTAGAGTAAATCCATTGAAACTGTGGCTTGAATTACCTGTGAATGAGGTGCTTCTAAATGTAGAATTAATGCAGTTTAATAGCACTTTAACGGCAATGACACAGTGTTATGGAATCCTTGGAGTTGTAGTTTTGCAGAGTCTTTAGCTTATTCTGTGAAAGAGTGCTTGAGCCTCACCATTCTACAACATTTACAATTATGTATTATGAGCCATGTCAGTTAAAGTGGTGGCAAACTGTATTAGTTCTATAGTGAGACACCCTAAGAAATTCTATTAATGTAAATGGATCTACTCTAACTTGGAATGATGTTGCATTTAGCCCTTACTCCAGCCTGGAGACCCTGCTCCCTTCAGAGTATGAATTAGGTAGAAGAAGTGCATTTCTTTATACTTTATGGAACTCCCCTGCATTTGAAAACTCATTCTTAGTGGCATTGCCAGCTATTTTAAAAACTTTATTATTTAAAAAAATATTTTGTAAGAATTGGAGATGGAGCAGACTTGTTTTCAACTGCTACATAGACTATGATGCGTATACATTTTAGAATTAATGCAGTTGGACATCACTTTTACTTCCATAGCAAGTGCTATGGAAATATGGAAGCTGTGGTTTTGCAAGGTCTTTAACCTTCTCTACCAAAGACTGCTGGTGTCTCACCAACTACAGCTCTCCTTAACAGTAGATGTCACAGGGCCATCGGCTTTTTTCACCTATTTCTTCCAGCGCTTGGCTCCTTATATGACCATGGAGGCTGTCAAATTACTCATATCACCAAGAGTTGCTTGAGTATTTTGCCACTCTGGTGTCCTGGCATTTGCAGTAAACCATTTGACATTGCTGTGCCAGTATTTGTTATTTTTTTTTATTTATTATGAACCTATTAGTTGCAAAATAAAAGTCTGTTTTCCTAGTATGTGAAATAATAATCACAGATCAAGTAAAAGTAAGAGTGGATTGTGAAAACATTACATCTCATTTGTTTTTGTTTTTTGTATATATTTATAGAGCCTTTTAGTGTAAGCAGATTTTTTTTTAGAGAAGATGATATCTACAGAATTTTGTGACTAGCAGTACTAAAAGGTAGCTGATATCTGAAAAACAACAAAAAAAGCTACAGGAAATGACATAGTAAATGGAGCTGTGCACTAAAATAAGCAAACAAGCAAACATGTAAGCTAACGGGATTCAGGATAGAGGGCATTCTACATGACAGTAAATTTAATATTTGAGAACTTGGAAACAAATAGCAATATCAAATGCCTTATTCCTTATTCATTGCTCTACCATTTGGTTTATTTATAATTAAATACAGTGCTTAGAATTGTAGCCGCAATTCTTTTAAAAAGAGGGTTTCTGTAAAACAGTGATGTAGAATATCTTGATTGACCTAGATGAGCTGATGTAAGAAACCCTGTGATAAAGCTGAGTATGATTGCCTTAGGAAACCAAAACGGTGATCACTAGCAAGATGTCAATATATCTATATTAAAATAATAAGAGAACCATACAGAATCCATCATCAATATGCGGAGGTGGCATGGATCAAAGGGCCAAGACCACTTTGGCCGTGCTGCATCATAACCCTACTTTCCTTGTGGCTGTCACATATCCCTGATGGTCACAGAGCTCAATGAGAACTCCTGGTCATTGCTAGTGTCTGATGCTGACATTAGCAGAGGTACCAATGTGGTCAGGAAGAAGGAGGGAGCCAATCCCCCATCTTCCTGTTGTCTGGGTGCCTCTACTGATATAGGCATGGGGTGCCTGCAGTAGCCAGAAACTCATAGTGCTCTGTATGCACCTCGGAGTGGTGAGGATGGCAACAGGGCCCAATTCATTGCTTTTTCCCCCTGCAGGAAACGAGGGATGGCACAGTGGCTTGTATGGACAGTGGGCCAGTATGAATTAGACTTGGTCTTGCTGTCCACACTGTGCCAAAGCCTTGGTGCATCCCTTGACTTTTCTTATCATGGGGATGTACTGGGTTAACCTGGTTACCCTGCAATAAGTATCGGGCGTGACAAAACTTTATGGAGATCGCCAGGAACTGATACCTAGTGAGGCAGGCTATTAAGTCCACATAGATGAGCCCTAGGAAAGAATATATTGCTTTACGTCAATATAAGTCATCTTTAGATATTTTATCAGCATAGCAGTTTGATGCATAATGTGCCAGATGGGTAATAAAGAAGAAGAAGGCTTATATGATGTCACAGACAATTACAAAATTATTGTAAGTGTTTGCTAGTCTGGAGAAGCTATGGGCATGAATGAATATTAATTACTGTTTTGAAAGAAAATAGTTTATCCACTTGTTATTTTATTATAATTTAGCCCATAGCATTCAGAGGCACCGAAGTCTGTTACAGAATCTTTAAATATCTTTTTACAGATTATGACATTGTTGTTATTTAAAACTCATCTAAACACTGTATTAATAACTTGCTCTTTGAAAACTGCTTGCCTGTTTTGAAGCAATTTTTCAGAATTCTTGCACATAATTTTTAGGATTTCTTATTTAATTTTCTTTACTTCAGGCTGCTTTTTTTTGTATTTAAAAACTGTTTAAACCAGTCAGTACCAGGCCCGTAGCCAGGATTTCGTTTTTTTTTTGATTTTTTTTCAGGGGGGGTTGGGGGGGCTGAGTTTCGGGGGGGCTGAGTCTGAGTGAAAGAGGGTCTAGCCTAGCAAACCTTTTGTATCATTACCCCAATACCCCCATGCATATGGGATATATTGAGTATGGTGATCAGATCATGATATGAATAAACATAACAGTTTAAATAATGCACCAGTAAGGCCTTTTCGCGAACCACCATGAGAATTTTTGGGGGGGGGGCTGAAGCCCCCCGAGCCCCCCCCCCCGGCTACATGCCTGGTCAGTACTGTTCTGTACATTTCAATATTTGATTTTGGGGAAGATTGGTTTGAAAAAAATGGTTAATATTTCTTTATAGTACTCAGTATAGGAATAAAATTAATGTTACCCTCCACAATAGAAAAAGAAAACAACGGAAAAAAATACAAATGCATGGTAATATATAATGTTTTCATCTTTTCCCCCTCTTCACTATGGCACTGCAGAAATTTATGATGAAGGTAAGCTTTAAAAAGATTGGTTTATTATTTTAGATTTTCCTCATCAAGGAGGGTTCTGTTTACAGTTCTCAAAAATATTGTAAAATGACAGTAACATAATGAAGTAAATACAGAGAACTAGTTTCAAAAATCATGGTCAATTACTCTTTCTGTGACTTGAAAGCACTATGGTATCATGAGGCTGTTACATTAAAGTAACCCTTCGACATGGAACAGATCTTCCATGGCACTATGTCCTCTGTTTTATATTCAATGAAATTTTTTTCCTACTCACATTTATTTAGTGAGAAACTGTTGAAAAAATGGAGGCTGCAACATTGAGTGGTACCTTTCAGTGGCAATTGCATCTCCTATGGGAAGGATTTCTTCTGTCTATGTTTCGTCAGTATTTCCTGAAGCAATACTACTTATGTCAACCCCCCCTAACATTGCAAATGATTAATTAATGTTCTATAAGTGCTGATTATAAGCTTATTACAACTGTTTTGAGACAATTTGTGTTTCTTCTCAGAATGTTTAGTTTTTGTTTATAAAAATTCTATAAGACATTTTACAAATAAATTGCATCAGTTGTCACTCAAATCAGACCTCACAACATTTTTTAAGGATTTGAGGGGCCCAAGTCTGCTATGCTACCCTTTTTTTACCTCAATAATTAAGGCTTATTGTTGATGCCTTTGTAAGTTTAGCCTTTTTACATCTGTTACAAAAAAGTGATACCTTCTTCTATACTGTTCTTCAAGATGATCAGATTGATAGCATTAGATTGGGAAAGGTTTAGCTAAGAAAACATGATATAGGAAGAGAAGAGGAATGCAGATAGAGATAAGGAAGAAATGTGATTATTTTTCTTACATTTGTTGTTAACTGCCATCAGATTGTCTTTGACATGGTGACCCTTGAATGAGAGACCCCCAAGGTCATCCTATCAACAGCCCTGGACACATGTCTTGCAAACTCAGGAGCACAGTTTTCTTGATTGAACCTATCTATTTGTAATCCAGTCTTCCTCTTTTCCTACTTACCAAGCATTATTGTCTTTTTTCGTAAGTCTTGTATTTCCATTATATGCCCAAAGTATGACAGTCTGTTATTCGTTTGGACATTAAGACATTGGGGGAAAATTCAAGTTTGGCCCATTTTGGTCTAGGACCCATTTATTTCTATTTTTTTTGCAGTTCGTGGTATCTGTAGAATTCTCCTCCAGCGCTACATTTCAAATGGGTTGATTCCATTAGATTTCATGCTACGTCTTTACACTTGTCATACTTGTCTAGTTCTTTCACACCCATACTCAGTCCTCCAAGTCTTTATATGAGTTTTTGACTTCAGTTTCTATTCTGATTAATGATCTAGTCAAGGTATAGAAAATCTTGATTTATTGCAATATCTTCATTGTTTCTTTAAAGTTAAATAAGTAATCTTTCTTCATTATTTTTATTTTCTTATTGCTCAACTGTAAATCTGCTTTCTCATTTACTTTCTTGACTTTCTTCAATAACTGTTCCCAGTCTTTGCTGTCTTCTGCTAGTTGTTTCATGTCCTAAATTGTTGATGTTCCTTCCTCCATTTTTTCATGCTTTCTTTCTCCAGGTCTAATCTTGCGATCAGTTTCTTTCTGAACTCCACATCGACTCTTTCATTTTATTTTCCTTCTGTGTTTGTAATTGGAGTATAAACTTGGATCATGCTTATATTTGTGGTTTTTCCTGAAGTTCTTTTTTATATCATTCTCTCAGAGTTTGCATTATATCCTTCTTTTGCTGCACCTCTCCTCACTATATTCCACCCACTTCTTTGATTTTCTTTTCTTAAGTAAAACATTGGGTAATTATCCAACTGAATATCCTGTTTTTGTCCATTTGAAATCATGTTAATACATTCAATTTCTTATTTTACTATGTGTAGCTTCTCTTACTCAGGTTTCTTGCATTTCATGTTTCTATAATATGTGTTGGTCAGCTTCTGCTGAATGCCATTAGCTCCAGTGCAATTCCTAATTGTTCTGCGCTGTCCTCCTGACCCTTGGAATATCATCTTCTGGCACCATTTATTATTTCATTTTGGATTGTTTCATCATAGGGTTTCCACAATAAAAGATAAAAAGAGAGTTTATCATGCCTTCTTTGCTAAAGTACTAACCGGAGTTAGCTATTGGGATCCTGCCATTGTCTCTGAACAGTCTTCTGCCATATCATGCCCCCCGTGCCCCACTACTGCTGTTGTCAGTAGCTGTTTGCACATTTAAGTTGCCTCCCCTGCAAAAGCCTGTCTGATATGGAAGCCTGGTCCAGCAGCACTGCATAGCCTCTTACCTCACAGGGGCTTTACCTTTGGTGGGTATTACATTAGTGTCATATTAGATGAATTTAGTTTTGACAATGGGAAATAATAGTGATATTGTGTTGATTGTTAATAATGGAAACTGTAAGAGAGCCCTACACACATGTGAATTCACATGCCTTTTTATTTGCTTGTTAGCTAAAGGAAATATAAAATCATATCAAAACGAGCATATTTTTGCAAATACTTGAAATGTAATGTTTGTAATAGAAGCACTATTTCTATTTCACAGGCAAAGGGAAAAAATGAATGCAAGGCTGTACAAATAGGATTGATGTGATTACAAATTTATTGAACATTTGGAATATCTTTTAAAAAATCAATACAAACCAAGCTGTTGCTTGGAATATAAACCATATATTCTATTTTAAGTAGAACTGACGCTTTAAATACATATATGCTTTTAGCTATATATTTGCTTTTGCCATTTCCCAGCAGATCAATTGCTCAAAAATCTAAAAAAAAAAGTCAGCCAGATTGCATCATAGTGATGTTTATCAAAGTCTTTTGAATAGAGGCAATAACATACCCCTTTTTAATGAAACATATGAAGGAAACTCATTTAGATGATTTATTCAAAGCTTTTCTTTTGCTTATTTGACTTTCATGAGCTACACCTTGAAAGCAAATGTCCCTGGAATTTGTTAGGGGGTTCTATTTTCTTCCATACTATTGTACATATAATACACAGATTATATATTATAAGCGAGGCGCTGTATACTTTTGCTCTGCCCTTTATTCACTGTTGAAAGTTCAATTTGCTATCACAGACTGTGAATTTGTACCTGTCCAACTTACATACAAATTCTACTTATAAACAAACCTACATAACCTATCATGTTTGTAACTTGGGACTGCCTGTATACTAAACAGGAAGCTAGCTTCAAAGAAGAATCCCACCATACCTAAGTTTGAAATAATATAAAACTATCTATATAAATAAAAATGTAATGTTCGTTTGTGGGATTAATATAACTGAAAAACCACTGGACGAATTGACACCAAATTTGGATAGAATACATCTATCAGGCCAACAAGTGACCATCACTCATAAGAACATTGAAAAACACAGCAGAAGAGACTTAAAAAGTAAAAAGAAAACATTACAATGCATATATAGAACCTTATATATACACATATACACATATACACAGACTGGACCACAGCAACGCGTGGCAGGGGATGGCTAGTATATAATAATACAACTTTATTTATATACCATCCTATCTCCCAGAAGAGACTCAGGGTGGTAAACAGCAAAGTCAGCAAACATTCAATGCCATCCAAAAGAAAAAAAAACACATAGCTATCCCACCCAAAACCCTGAGACCTGAGCAGGGTTTTTTGATGATAGAGTACTTGGAGGTCTCTCATTCAAAGGCCCCCCACTTGACTTGACAGCAGTTAACAACAACAATGTTTCAGAGTTCTTTGAAAGTGATGAAGGATTGAGCTGCACTGAGTGGGTCATGATGATGTTTACTAGGACTTTCAAAGAGTCTTTGGCAAATACTCGCACTCAAGATTTGTGAGCTAACACGCCAGAAATGAAAAAAGAGAAATTGTATTATGCCTTGTTTGCTGGTTAAAGAACAAAGACAAAACAATCCCAAGAATAAAAGGTTGGTTTTAGAAAGGAAGCAATGTCTCCAGTCCTGACAATCTGCACTGAGTGAAGGGTGATCGGTTACATCGGTACATGGAAAACATCTAGCAAATGACAGCAACTGGCCCACAAAAGGATTGTGAGATGATGGATACTTCAAGTAAAATGTCAATCTGGTTTCTGGCTGCCTTGGAGAAGGCAAATTCCACAGTGACCATAATTTGAACAGGTATTGAAAATCAAACTGGTGTGACCATGCTTGGAATACTGTATATAGTTCTGACCACAGCACCTGAAAAAAAGTTCTCAAAGAGCTGGAATAACATTATGTAGAGGCAAGACATTTGGAGCTGTTTAACTTAGGAAGAAAAAAAAGAAAGTTAGGGAAGACATAATCAATTTTTTTTAAAAAACCATGAGTCTAAAATTATGTATCAATTGTTTTTAACATTTGTGCTCTTTTAACTGATATTATGCTGTTCTGATTCATATTATGTATTTGTGACTGATGTTACATGCTTTTAATTGGTGTTGTATGTCATGTTGTATTCTGGTTCTGTTGTTCCCTGCCTTTATCCATAGAAATAGGTGGGTAAGAAAGAAATATTATTTTGCTTGTTTTGTTAACATACTAAGAAAATTGATAGGAGGAATTCCCCACTGCCATAGTATTAGAACTTTAAATTGATTGGTAGAAGATTCAGAACAGAAAAGGAAATATTGCTTTGTTGAGAAGAATTTCTTCATTTGAGTCTGGGAGGAAGCCTGTGTATAAATTGATATATAGAAGAAAGCAAGCAAGCAAGCAAAGATGCAAGCAAGAAAAGAGAAAAGAGATGTTTCTTATAAGCGTATGCATACCATTGTTTGAACAGAACGCTGGGTCAAATAGGACTTTGATCTTGTCAAACATGGATTTTTAAAATACATTTTATGACATTATTTTGATTAAACTCTTGTTGATTCCTACAGTCTGCTCAAGGTGGCGGTCATCGGACGCTCCTTTATGGGCATGCAATATTGCTGCGCCATTCTTACAGTGGTATGGTATGTATGAAATTAATGTATGATGATGATGATGATGATGATGATGAGATACTTGGCACATTTTCTTTCTGTGTGTTAGAATTAGGGAGCTGCATCTACAATGTTACAGAACTTATTATCTATTTCTGTGATTGCAAAGAACCCATTCTACTGCGACAATTTATTTTCAGTGCAGCTTCCTTTCATATATACCAATCTAAATGGCATTTTACTGCATTTTATTAAGGGCTGTTAACTTAAATTTTGTGTTACATAAAATTCATGTATGTAGACTGCAGAACAATTTTGGGTTTACCAACTTTTAAACATTTGATTTAATGACTGTTTATATGTTTGAATATACTAAACCACTGAAATTTAGTTCTGTGAGGGTATATCTTCTTTTTCTGTAATTCCTTGGAGTGGTATTTTATATAAAAGCATTAAATTTGGTTAAAGTTGTAGACTCTTTGATTTATCAAAGTAGTAGTGTTAAAGAAATTATGTACAAAATTTCTCAGAAATAATTAAGTGATACTAAAGTGTTTGTATGCACATATTGCAAACAATGAGGGATGCTATACTTGAAAGTTTAATCATAGTTCAAGTATTTTGTAGACTGTTTTAATTATGAACCTTTAAAAATAGAACGGTTTCTTTAATTTTTTGTACTTTTGGAAATGATTTTAGTTGGCCTTTGCTTTATAAATAAAATGTTGTCATTTATTTTATCATAATAATATTTATAAAGGGTTATAAATGAACTATTATTATCATTATTTGTTTTAAAATTCTGTAAGCTGCTTAGACCCTATTGCCAGATGAAGGCTGTAGTATAAATACATTAATTAATTAAACAACCTAAAAATCTGTTTTTATTGTTGTCATTAGTATCTGTGCTGCCTCTCCACCTCACGAACATCAATGGACAAACTGGCATTTGATGTGGGCTTGCAAGAAAATACTACAGGTTAATAGACTGTTTTAAAAAACATTATACTTGTTTTTAAATATAAGAAATTAGATGGACTGGCTTTCTGAGTGAAACTAACATCATTACTATACTACCTCTAAGAATTTAAAATATTTTTATTCCTTAAGTTTTTACATAAATGTCTAGTCTATTTCCCCTAAGAAAATATGAGTATAGACAGACATGCATGCAATACAGATTATTTATTATTTAGAATTAATATATATCTGTAAGTTTTGAATGTCTTTGAATTTTTTGTAGACTTATGATATACTGACCTGTTTTATCCACAATCAAATAGCATTCATATCAGATTTTCACAACTAATTAATTTAGCATTTTCTAATGGTTTGAACAGCAATTTTTAGCATTAATTATTTAACTTTCTCATTTAACAATGAGGCAGTTACTTTTTTGTATTTTCTTTTTTCACAAGAAATTTATGTTTTGGATGCAAATATTAGACTTGTGTCATTTTTTTAGGGAAGTGAACTGTCATCAGATACAGAACAGAGATTTCAAAGTCCTTAGCACTTTTATAAAATCAACTGATACTTCAATTACATTTTTCATGTTATCAGGCTCTAAACAGTGCTCATACTGGGACACAATAAATTGTTAATGTAACAGTCTGACATAGAGGAATTGAGCCATTAGTATGCAATGCCAACCTATTTTTTGTGTTGTTGAAATAATGCTTATTATCATAAAAACAAAATTATATTTTCTTTTGCATTTAAATATGCCACAACAGCTTTAAGTACAAAGAAAGGCTTTTTCCCCCCAAAGAGCATTCCCTTCTCATAGCAATGATTTCTACAATTTTTGATAATGCAGGTGAGGCTTGCTGGTGGACTATCCACCCTGCCTCCAAACAGCGTTCAGAAGGAGAAAAAGTTCGTGTTGGGGATGACCTTATCCTTGTCAGTGTCTCTTCAGAAAGATACTTGGTAAGTGCTGGAGAATATGTACAGCATAATTCCATGGTACTTAATAAAGCTTAATAAGATAGAAATTAAGCCTGGGCATGGCATTAGATTTTAATGTAGGAAGGTTGATTGCTTTAGCTGACCTCTGTACAATCCATATTGGCAAAGTAAGAGAGTTCTTAACAATAATATTAGGATAGTTGAAGCAAGGACCCATATTTGGAAGAGCTGAATCCACTTAATTACTTTTTCAATTTGCCCAAAATTTCCATATTTATCTACTTGCAGAACCTAAAAATAAATATGTTTTAAACCTTTCAATAAAACACATTTAACTAAATCCTGGCAAGTAATTACTAATTACTTGAATAAAATGGCCTCCACCTGCCAACAAATGGAGAACAGAGAGGTGGCTAGCCTAGCCTCCCATGGAAGAGATTTTTGGGAGCAAGCACCACAAAGTAGGCCTCTCCATAAGAAAGTAAGACACTATCAGATTCATATAGATCAGTGGTTCTCAACCTGTGGGTCCCCAGGTGTTTTGGCTTACAACTCCCAGAAATCCGAACCAGTTTACCAGCTGTTAGGATTTCTGGGAGTTGAAGGCCAAAACATCTGGGGACCCACACATTGAGAACCACTGATATAGATAAAGATCTTTCAGATGGTCTGGAACTCAACTGTCTAGAGCTTGATATGTCATAACCAGCACTTTGAATTGTACCTGAAAATGAATTGGTAGCTAGTGAATGTTTCAAAAAGCGGGTTATTTGTTCCTTGTCATTGGCCCCAGTTAATCTTCTGGCTGCAGTATTTTTGGACCCACTGAAATCTCAGAACAATTTCCAAAGTCAGCCCCAGGTAGATTGCTTTCCAATACTCCAAATAAGACATAATCAAGCCATGTATCAGCATAGTCAGGTATGAGTTTGAAAAAAAATGTGTGCAGTTGGTGCCCTAGTATTAAATCTGCAGACACATCCCTGCCTGGGACCAAAATCTGGGCATCCTTGACTGAGTCTAAGGCCCCTTCTACACTGTCATATAATCCAGATTATCTGCTTTTAACTGAATTATATAGCAGTGTAGACTAATATAATCTAGTTTAAAGCAGATAATGTGCCTTATCTGCTTTGATAATTTGGATTATATGGTAGTGTAGAAGGGGTCTAAGAAACAATAAATGAGGGCAGATAGAAATGGTTGGTGGTTTATAAACCACTACATTTTAGTATCTAAATCTGATACTAAAAGGGTTGGTGTTAATTAAATCTTTGAAGACTTTAGCAAGTGTGGGATCATTTTTCAAAAGCCCTTCCAGGGAATTAGAACTTTACAGTATAACTGATTTCCTTTTCCTAAATCCCATTGTAGTTATGCCATGCTGGTTCTGGTTTCTCATTTCCCAATTTAAAAAGCAGACACTCGTGCATTAGCAGAGGAATTTGGAGGACTCTTGCCAAATGACTCAGAACAGAATTAACTTGTTTTGAATTAATTCTGTCTCGTTCAGTAGTTATCACTGTCTTTTTGCTGCTGGTTTTATTCTGATCCATGGCCCAGGAGTCAGTGGCTATGACATCTAATACCCAACACAAAGGGCAGTTCTACACAGATAGTATAATCCAGTTTGGAAGTGGGTTAGAAGGTACTGGTTTCTCTGTGCTGTGCCTACACAAACACCACAGGAAATGGTTCAAAGCTGGGATGGTGGCAACAGCATTGCCTAAATGCAGATCAAACTGAACCCAGGAATTGAAGTATTCATTCCCAGTTGGGATAATCTCTGAGCCATGACAGGACACAAGAAGTGAGAACAAAAGGGAGGAAAGTGTGAGGTCCCAAGGTAATGATATGATTTCATCTCCTGGGGGAATCATTGTTTACCTTCCAGAGTGCTCTGTTAAGATTTTTTAAAAAAGTATTTCAGCACTAGGGATTTCCTGACAATCACTCTGCCTTTTGCAGTCCTGTTTTGAGTCACACATGAGATATGCTCTGATCTGCTGCAGTGCATTATCTGGCTTGTTTTGGGCCTTCTTTTGTGTTTTATAAATACTCTGTTTCTGATTAGATATGTGTACATTTTGCCATTGAGCCAGCTTCGAACTGCATTATAGTATTTGTGTAGAGATGAGAGAAACACAGATTGTGGGCAAGGCTATGGCCGCTAGTTCAAACAGCAGAGTGTTAAATGTGAAGGCATCTATTTACTATAGTCCTCAGGAGGACTATTGAAAATGTAAATACATCATGACTGCCTTATGTTATTGTATTTGAATAGATGACCTTTCTCTTTTTCCTATGGTTACAGCACTTATCTTATGGCAATGGCAGCTTACGTGTTGATGCAGCCTTCCAGCAAACACTTTGGAGTGTTGCTCCAATAAGTTCAGGAAGTGAAGTAGCTCAAGGTAACACTGTTAAAAATCATAATTATGTTCTCAAGTAATTATTTTGTTTTCAAAGTGATAGCAACAACTGCTACTACCAAGAAGAATGCTTTATAAATAATTGTGCTGGTAAGACATGCCATACAATTAGTCTTACTCATGGATTCTTATACTTTGCAAAATGAAAAGTAAGGAGAAGAAAGGCAATTTCAGAAGTAGATGCAAAGTACTTTTTGCTTTGTCTGGTTGCAATTGTGTTCTGGGATTTTTAAAAATTCTTTTTAAAAATTCTTAATACTTACATCTACATGAAACTATTTGGAGACGTTATTCAGAGGTGTAGTTAAAATATCAAGAAGAAAACAATGGCATCCAGATCAAAGAGTTGATGTTCTGAAGTAGAGATGGGTGGAACTATGGTCTGAATGAAAATCAATAGATTGTAGGTCAGCCCAGGAAGACAGAGATCTGTCTTGGCGTGGTTTGTCTGTTCAGCTAAGAGACATTCATCGTATTTTGGAAATAGTGACAATATTCCTAAGAGATCAGCTTTCTTGATTGCACTTAGATAGATTATTATTTATCAATGTATTTACTATGAAACTTATACCCTGCCTTTCCCCAGTCAAGGGCCCAAGGTGGCTTAAAGCCAGTAAAAACTTAAGCATAAATATTAGTAAATGCTGTGAAATACTAATTAAAACTCTAATAAAATACATTAAAAACTACCTTGTTAATACATTGGCACTGTTAGTTGACTATTTGGTTCTTTGAACCTTTGATTGGGTTTATTTTATATATGAACTATAAATATACCTGCACAAACAAAACTTTATGATAATTACACTGATGTAAAGTCCTTTTTAGACATTTTCAGTATGTTATACATAGAATTTGAAAAGATTCACAAGACACAAAGTAGTCAAAAACAGGCTAGATTGTTGCTGGTTAGAACACTAGTTGGGACTGGCTAATCTGATAATAGTTTGCCAATGACACATGTATGAATGTAGTTTAAAATGCTAGATAATAATAATAATAATAATAATAATAATAATAATAATAATAATTTATTTGTACCCCGCCACCATCTCCCCAAAGGGGCTCGGGGCAGCTAACAAAGCACTCAAGGTGCCACACATAAAATAGAATTACATAACACCAAAACAATACACAGTTTGACTGAATACGAACAAGGAACAACATCAATCGATAAACAGTTTTAAGATTCTAAAACAGTCATACCTGTGAGTCATTGGGTTTCTTCAACACAAACTAAAGTGCCAAATAACAATGGTCAACATCATCACATGTCCATAGTACATTACTCCAGGTCAAAGGCTCATGTAAATAGCCATATTTTTTTATGCTCGAATGGAAGGTTTGGAGATTTGGGGCTAATCCAACCTCCTGTCATTAAAGTCCAATGGTACACAAAATAATATTGTTAATTATAAAGTATGCCCTGATAATATACACATTAAAATGTATATTGATATGAGGTTCTATTAAGATACTTCTCGGGACTTCTGGTGTGGACTCGATGGCGGCAGGATGGAGGTTTTGAGAGCTCCTCAAACCTCAAGCCTTTCAGAGCAGTAAAGCTCCCCCTTACCCGGCAGATTGAGACTGGGAAAGCAGCAAACCCACTGGGGAGTCGAACCAACAGCCCAAACCCCTCCTCCCCTCAAGGGTGGGGGCAAGGGGCCCGGATGAGACCCCCACAGGAAAGCGAGTCGCAGAAGCGTGAGCCAGCCCAAAACGGGTTATTGGCACACTGCCAGCCACCACATTTTAATTGAAAGAACAAGATACTTCAGAATTGTGAGTAAGAATACTCTATCTCTATATGGTAAAGAACAAAATAGACTGGTTGCAGGAGTAACTTGTGGATATCGGTAACATTCATTATAACATAGCAATCTTGACAAAGACGGGAGAGAAGAAAGGGGAAAGAAGAAGAAGGGAAAAGGAAAAGACATGAGGGACAGAAGGGGGGGGGGAAGGAAGTGAATACCAACAGGGAAATAAAATAACAAAACAAACCTGAGAAGGCAACCCATAGGCTCCATAAACTCTATAAACTCTATAAACTTGTATAAGTGAACTATAAAAACTAGAGGAACCAACGACTGAACCAACTAACCAACAAACAATAACAAAGGGAGAAGCAAGGACTTGGTAAAGAAATAACGCGACGGACGAAGATGCCAGACCTGAAATACTAAATATCAAAGTCACTTTAAAGTATCCCACCCTTGAGACAATAATAATAATAAACTTATAAGATAGAAGCAACTCAAGAGTAAAATAAAACTCCCCTCTCCCCATCCCTCCTGCCCTCTTATCCCCAGAACAAAAGAGGCAATTAACTATAATTAACAAACTTCAAGCTGTACCGGTGGAAGAGAGAGGCAAATGCCATGAGGGATGGTTTAGTATAACAAAGAGCAAAGAAAAGAGAGATCGGAGGGAAGGGAGGGGCGAGGCTCAGAAGACCAGAGCGTGGATCGAGGAGTGTCGAAAATCCAGGGGCAGAAGCAGAAAGCAGAGAGCAAAGGCGGAAGAGGAGACAGAGAAGTGGCAAAGAAGATGGAAGGAGGGAGAGAGAGAGATAGAGAGAGAGAGGGCGAGAGAAGGAAGAAGAAGAAGAGGGAAGAAGGACAAAACAGAGGAGAATAGGCAGCAACAGAGGAAAGAAGAGGTGCGAAGACACGGAGGAACAAAAGACTGGTGAAAGCAGAACCTGAAAGCTGTAGGTAAATATAGATAATATATATAAAGAAAGAAAGACAATAAGTAAAGGGGAGACAAAAGAATAGAAGTGAAGGTGGAAAATTAGAGGAAAGAGAGAAGGAAGACAAGAAAGAAGAAAGAAGGAAACAGTGAGGGGAGGAGGGGAAAGGGAGGAGGAAGGATGGAAAGAAGGGAAGAAAAAAAGGGGGGAAGTAGAGGGGAAAGGGAAAAAAGAAGGGAAAAAATCCACTACCACCACCCTTGCCACCCCCCCAATTCCCCCCCCCCACCTATCCCTCAGGAAAAGGGGAAAAGAAGAAAAAGAAAAGAGGGAAAGAAGAAAATATATTTTCTTTAACAAATCAGAGAATTGAGCCACAGAATATATAAATATATATGCATACATATAGGTAATTTGAAGGGAGCAAGAAGAGAACCTAAGAGAAGGTACTGCAGAGATCCAAAGAAAATGGGATGACTCAACACCAATAAACATCTACAACGCAAAATAAAATCATATACGTAAAGTAGAAATGGTGACACTTAAAACAAAAACAGACAAAGACATGGAAAAGAAACAATTACAACCCAGAAGAGGATCCATACCTGAGGAATCTACTTTGAAGGATATTATGAGGGAGATTCAAAGAATATCAGCAAAACAAGATGCACACCAAGAATGAAAGAAGAATGAAAAAGACTGTCAGATAAACAAGACACACACCAAAAAGAATTGCAGAAAATGAGAAAAGAAATAGCAGAAGACCTAGGAACTATGAAAAAAGAAATGTCCGTTCTACAACAAGAAGTAAAGGAGATGAAGAAGGAAAGGCAAGAAATGGCAAGCAAGTAGGAGAAATATGGAAAAGCTTTAGATAAACTTGAAGAAAGAAGTGCAAGCCTAGAATAGAAACAAGAGAAACTCGAATCCCAGGAAATGGAATATCAACTGAGATATAGAAATATAATAGAGGAAACAGAGGAAGACCTAAGACAAATTGTAATAGGCTTAACATCTAAATTAATGAAATGCACAGAGGGGGAGATAGAAAACAATATAGATCGAGTGTATTGCATCTCAACGAATTATGCGAGACGAAATAAAGTAGAGAGAGATGTAATTGTCCACTTCACAAAAAAAGGACCAGAGATGAAATTTTAAAACAAAACAACATTAACCAGACAGTCTATAAAGGGAGGAAGATTGCAGTCTTAAAGGAAATACTATCGACAACCCTGATGAAAAGGCGAAAACATTTATTCTTGACAGAAGAATTAAAATGACACCAAATCAGATTCCGCTGGGAGAGAACTGAAGGAGTCATGGTCACGTATAGGGAGGAACGATTTTGGCTGACATCTGAAGAGGAAGCACAGGACTTCTACAGAAAATTATAAAAGGATATGGAGGAACAAAACCCATCAGGAAAGAAATACAGCACTAAGCATGCCAGAACGATATCACCTGAAAAAACACCCATAGCAAGTAAACTGACCAGAACGGATTTGGACAATGTGGAGGAGGAAGGAGAAGAAGAAATAGAAGAACTAGATGATGGAGTGGATTCTTAAATGCTTCTCTAACAACATCAACGGATTAAATTCACCCAACAAGAGAAAGAAAATATTTAACCATCTTAAGAAAGGGAAATATGACATAATAGCGCTACAAGAAACTCAGATTAATCAAAAACATGTGGCTCGTTGCACTCAAAAGGGTCTTGGTAAGGAATTCTACTAATCAGTGCCAGAAAAAAAAGAGGCATAGTGATTTATACAAGAGATAATATTGTAGCAAGACTGGCATTTAAAGACACAGATGGAAGACTGGTGGCAATCATAATGGATAGAGGTGGGGCAAAACTCCTGATTTGTAACATGTATGTGCCTAATGGGCCTAAAAATAAATTTATAAATAAACTCAAAGGTTTACTTATGGAACAAGGGTATGATGATTTGATTTTACTGGGGGATTTCAACAGAGTAATGGACACCAAATTGGATAAAAATCTAAATAAGAACAAGATGAGGGAGGAAAGGACTGGGAGGCTACCTGAAAACTTTTTTAAACTCCAAAAAGAATTGGGGCTGCAGGATGCCTGGAGGGTTCACCATGGAAATGAGAAGGGACTATACGTTTTATTCTGATAGACACAAAAGGTGGACCAAGATAGATATGGGTTGAACCACAGAAACGCTCACAGGAAAAATTTATAAGATAAAAATTCTCCCAAGATGCCACTCAGATCACTGCCTGATTGAGACAATTATAAACCAGAAAACCAAAATTAAGAAATGGAGACTAAATGAAAGCCTTCTGAGAACAGATGAAGACCTCCAAAAGAACAAAGAAATCCTTAAAGATTTTTTTCAAACTGAACTGTACTCAAGGCATGGATAATTCTATTATTTGGGAGGCCAGTAAAGCCTTCAAGAGAGGTAATTTTATTCAACAAAGCTCCATTAAAAACAATGCAGAAAGAGAGAGAAATTAATGGCAAAATAGAGGAGACAGAGAAACAATTGAAAAAAATCCTAAGAATGAGAAAATCAAATTAGAACTACATCTTCGAAATAAACAAAGACAATTCTTGGAATTAGAGCAAATGGCGAAAAAAATGAAATTTGCAAGGCAAGAACATTTTCAAAATGTGAACAAAGCCAGTAAGTGGTTATCGAGGAAAATTAAAATAAAGAAATGTGAACAAAGTATTACACAAATTATAGATGAAGATAAAATATATGCAAAGAACAAGGAAATAGCAGATCAGTTTTATAAATTTTATAGGAAACTATATAAGAAAGACCCAATAAAGAGAGAGGAAATTAATGAGTACCTAGGTAAACAAAACATACCAAGACTCTCAGAAATACAAAGAAAAGAACTAAACAAAGATATTACAGTAGAAGGAATAGAGAAAGCAATAAAGAAGTTAAACCCCAGGAAAACCGCAGGCCCAGATGGATTGACCATGATCTATTATAGGAAACTGAAGGATGTACTACTACCACACTTAAAAACAGTTATGAATGAGATTCTACAGCATGGAAAGATACCAAAATCCTGGAAAGAGGCAAGTATAGTAATGACCTATAAGGAAGGCACAGACCCCCTAAGAGTTAGACCACCTGACATATATACTAGCAAGATCATGAAATATGCATATTAAAGTAACCAACTGACCCTGTCAAGGAATGGATAAAAGAAAAAAAATCAAGATATTAATATGAACAGATCAAAAAGGAAGAAGAAAAAAGAATAATAATTTAATTGAATAATTTAAAAATCCAGAAAACTACCGACAATAGAAAATAGGAAAAGGAACATCCTGGCAAAATTTTCTTAATTTCTCTCTTGAATACCATTATAGAGAAGAGTGGAAGTTCAAAAACCCATTCACCCCCCTCTTCCCCTCTCTTTTTTTGTCTTTTTTTCTTTTGTTTTCCTTGCATTTTGAAACTCTCAATTTTATAAACTCACTTTGTAAAACTCAATAAAGATTACTTAAAAAAATACTTCTCCATTCTTATCTAACCAGGTCATCATCTAGAACTGTCTAAACAATGCCACCAAATTAGTTGTAATAGGGCCTTTTCAGCAGTGACAATCTCTGAAATAACATATTTTTATTCTTTCAGGCATTTAAAAATATTTTTTGTAGTTCTCAGTCTTATAACTATTTTACTTTGCTGCTGGTTTGACCTTTGGCTTCATGTCATGCAAACTCTTTCTTGCTTCTTTAGTATTATGTTTGTTTATTATGTTGCAGTGGAATAGAAAGATATCTGTTCTTTGAAAAAGGTGGCTTCCTGAACAATAACAGATAGAAATGGTTTTCATGGCTATCCTCTCCCTATTGTTGTAACACCATTTTACCTTTGTTACCCCAGTGCCAATTCCAGCCTTGAAGCTGTTTCAGATTAAGCTATTTCCAGATAGTGCATAGAATTTGGATTATTTCTAAAATATAGGCCATTTACCTTCCCATTTTATTATAGGTTATCTGATAGGAGGCGATGTGCTGAGATTATTACATGGCCATATGGACGAATGCCTCACTGTTCCTTCAGGAGAACACGGAGAAGACCAAAGAAGGTAAACATTTGTCAGAAATAGTTGGGAAGACAGAGTCAAACAGACAAGTTACTGGTTAAAAAAACCCATTCCTGGCTGGATGGGCTTTTTACAAATCTTTGAATGTTAAGGAAAGAGTGTTGAGTTATAGTAACATCAATGAATTTTTCACATGCATTTAGAAACACGGTTGACATTGTAGTTTATGTATTTTTCTGGTAATCAAGGCTATAAGAATATAGATAGGTTTGTTATTGTGCATAATTACTCTTGTTTTTATATTCCAAGTTAGAAAAGAATTCTTTTTGAAGAAAGATTTCCTATTCCAATATATTCACACACTGTGTGTTAGTTGGATATATTTTCTAAATTATGAGCACATTTTAAAAATAAAATCTATAAATAAAATTCTACAACATAGAGTTAACATTCTGGTACCTTTTAAATTCAAATGTGGGGTTGTCCTTGAAGATGGCTGGAAAACTTCAACTAGTCCAATGAGTGGCGGCCAGAATTCTAACTGGAGCAGCATACAGGGAGCACACAACTCCTCTGTTGCATCTGCTCCACTGGCTGCCGATATGCTACCGATCTCAATTGAAAGTGCTGGTCTTGACCTATAAAAGACTAAATGGTTCTGGTCCAACGTTTCTGTCCAAATGCATGTCCTCCCATGAGCCTACTAGAACTTTAAGATTGTCCTGGTAGGCCCTGCTCTTGGTCCTACCTTCTTCGAAATTGCGATTGGTGGGGACGACAGACAGGGCCTTCTCAGTGGTGGCTCCTCAGCTGTGGAACTCCCTCCCCAATGACATCAGGCAGGCTTCATCCTTTCTGGCTTTCAGAAAAAAACCTAAAGACTTGGCTTTGCACACAAGCGTTTGAAGAATAAGTTACTACATGGCTTGACACTGTCTGAATTAAGAATGTGAGCAAAGTTATCAGATGAATGGAATGCACCTTATATGTTTTAATTTGTATACTCTTTTATGTGTTTTATTGATTAACTGTTAATTGTTTTAACTGTGGGATATATTTTTATTGTTTATTGTTGGTTTTTATTGGCAATGAATTCTTGCCAGAGCTGAATTCTCTCAGGAGAGAAAGGCGGGATAAAAATGAAATAAATAAAGAGGATGCTTGCCATAGATGCAGGCGAAATGTCAGGAGAGAATGCCTCTAGACCATGGCCATATAGCCCCAAAAAACCTACAACAACCCAGTGATTCTGGCCATGAAAGCCTTCAACAAAACAAATAGGGAATAAATATTTCTAATATGTATTCTCATCTGTCCTAATAGAGAGATTGAATATAACCCTTGGTAAACTGAAAGAAAGAAAGAATACCACAAAAGTATAATGCAGTGGACCCTTGAGGTCCATTGGGATTTGGGCCCAGGACCTTTCCTCCCTCCATTGGGATTTTTTAAACATTTTAAAACCATAGATGGTTGGATCCCTGGATGCAGAATCTGTGGATACAGAGGACCAACAGTACTTTCAATGGAAAAATAAAACTGTACAGTAAAAACAGATAACAACAAAACCCAACTAGCAAAAAATATATGTGTAAGCATTGATAGTGTTTCAGGTATGGTGAATAATAATAATAATAATAATAATAATAATAATAATAATAATAATAATTAATAATAATAATAACTACTTATATTATTATTATTATTTTGAAACAGCATAGGTTGCAGAATCATGGGAAGTGGTCCTGTTGTGGTGGTAAAGCTTTCCTTAGACTATGGCTTGGAAAAGTGGTCTGTTTGATGCTTCTATTTATTGAAGCATTCAGAATAGATGTTTCCTGTTTCTCCTAGTACCTGGAGCTTGCCTCGGGGATTTATAATAACAGAGGGAGAAATGGAGAATAATCTAAGAAACATTCTGTCAGTTTATATGTCACTTTGTTTTGGCCTGGAGCAGAGTTGTGGGTGTGGGAGATATTTCTTATATGAGCGGTAATATACTGCTTTTGCTTGGCACGTGCTGATAAAATGTTAAGGTTATGATTAAAACTTTTTATTATTATTAATATTGCTTAAAGAATGATGGCCTGAATCATTCAGGCAGATTTGGCATACATTCCAAAACAGGACAAGGTTTTTTAATAGTGTTGGATTAAATTGACTGAATGTACTGTAATCTCACCTCAGCTAAATTCTTATCTTTGTTACTCTCCATCTGTGTGTCTAAATAACAGTAATTGTTATGTCATTTGGAGGTTGTGAGTATAGAGTGTGATATGAATTGTTGGATTTAAAAAGTTAATGATAACTTAAAGTACCTAGATGAGTGAGTTATATTTCAGGAAAAAACCTACCCTCAAACATTATTTTTATACTGATCACACCCAATTTCAGACCTGACAAAAATCTCCCCAAAACAAAACAAAACAACAAGAAGAGAACATCATCCAGGAAAAAGATGACACAACTATTTTCAAATACGGGAAACATGAAGTGCATAGCTGATTAGATATATAATGATTCCTTTTCCCATTATTGTCCCTGAGTGGTTGTTATATCTAATGAGATCAGCCACTTACCTAGCTAAGGAATGAAAGTTTTTCTCTTATTCTTACTGCCAGGAAGCAAAAAATGCATTTTATTTTGGTGGACTCACAGACTTCCCGTGTGGCATAGTTTTTGGTTTTGTTTTGCCTTCTGTAAGAGGAACTACATTTCCAGTTAAAATAGATCAGTGTTCAAATTCAGATAACTAGACCTTGATGAAATAAACCTAAATTGTAGCAGAAAGCTACTTATATTTCTCTTGTGATGGGACAGGAGATCATCTACAATGACCACTGTGCAAGTGGATCAGCATTGTGGTAGATAAATGTTGCATGAGGCTGATCCAGCTTAACTTGTGGTGAGGCCCACCTTAGCATGCCCATGCTCTAATAACATCCATGTTTACTTGTAAATGTGGTGTAACTATAGGTTTGTAGATAAGTGTAAACATTTAATATATGCGAAATGGTTTCATAATAATCAATCCAGTTGAAAATGTAGATAGTAAAGAAATCAATATTACATGGTGGTTCTAAGGATTTGAAGTCTGCAGATTCTTGGAATGTTCTCACTTTTTCTTCCACAAATTGACTGAACATAACTGCCCATCTGCCACAATATCCACGTATTGTGTTACCTGCCGCAATATCTGCACTAAGTGCATTCTCACTTTCTGTTCATTAAGTGAAAGTGAAAATCAGGCTCTATGTATTTATGAATGCATGAAAGGGAAGGTGTAGATAGATCTAAATTCTAGACAATTTGAACAGTGCTGATAATATCTGAAAAAAGGTTGTTCTCTCAGTGTGAACTTGGATGATATTTCCTTCATTTTATATCTGTACCTGTATTATGGAAGATGGATGACTGCCTTGAGAATATTTATTAAGATACTCCCAGAGCATTACTTCTGCCAAAGTTCACTTCTGTTCCAGTATTAATTTTCAAGCACTCACTTCCCATTGAAGTTTTCTTTTTGAGTTCACGAAATTGCATTTTTATGTTCATAAAACCTAAATACACTTCAATACTTTGTGTTTACTGAGAGGGAAAAATGATAATGTAATAAGGTATCCTTATGATCAGATACACAACTACAATAGAAGAACTTTAATAAAAGTTGGGAAAGAACCCAATACAAAATGCTGGCGTGAGACATATTTGGCAGAAGGAACAACACTACAGCACCGTTTCTTAATGAGATGCAGTTTGTATATGAGTGTGTTGTATGAGGAGAAAGCTGGAACATTTTATACCATGAACGAGTCTGAGATACTAGCTGAATTGCATGAATACCAAACTGAATGAAAAATCTCTATGGAATTGACCTCTGTCATGTATTGTAAGGCTTCATTACTTGTTGGTTCACATATATGTGGCTCTGTGGTGCACTGTAGCATGGGGAAAATAGCAAAAGTATAGAGGGAAAATTGGGAAGAGATCTGCAATTTTACTAAAGGCAAAAACTCAAGCAGCATACTACTGACAGGCAATTCTGCAAATTGCCTAATAAAAACAGTAAGTAGATAAGTAGAAACAGATGGCATTTTAGGTCAATAGTATTTGTAACAACTGTAGCTATTCCATTTAAGGCTGCAATCATGAACCCAGTTACACTTTAATCAGTGAATTCAGTGGAACAGAGCTATACAGAAGAGCAAGGTTCTAGTCTGGGATGCCATTGATTCAGACCGTTTATGTTATGTCCTGATAAATAAGGCAGTTTTTTTGTAATTGTTTTTATTGGTAAATTTTGCAAAGCTTGAGTAAAAGATAAAGTTTTTACATTGAAAGTGGGAGAACATATTTGCTATGAATAGAAAAGTAGTAAGAAAAAAGGATACTATAGGAAAGAGGATAGCTGAGAGCAAAAAATAAAAAAAAATAAAAAAATAAAAAATTATTGACTTCCATCTTTGGTGGTCTTTAATGTCTTTTTCTATATTTTGAAAGTTATTGCTTCCCTGCTGCTTCTTTTTAAGTTATGATTTATTCCTTTTAGATAATAATCTCTATTTTATATTGTCTAAGGTAGTCTTTTACCGGGTCCCAATTTGTACGTTTCTTTGGGATCCCTTGGTTTGACGATAGCTAAACCAACTCATACTCATCTCCAGAATCTTGTTTTGCCATTCTTCTCTTTTGGGTGTCTCTTTCAGTCGCCAGTTCTTAGCGAATACGATCCTGGCTGCTGTAGTTAAGTAGTTGAACAGTATTTCCTTATTTTTCTCTCCTTCAAAGTCAAGCATTCCTAAAAGGAAATATTCTACCTCTTTTTAATTTGTGTTTTTAGTATCTTTCCTATGTCTTTTTGGATTGTGTTCCAGAAGTCTTTGGTTTCTGGGTAGATCCAGAACAAACACAAAACAATCTATGTGTAATATCAAAGTGTAATATCAAAACAGCATATAGTATGCAATTTACCAAAATCCCCAGTACATAGCTCAATTCAGTGGCACAACGCAAAATCAAAAGGAGCAACCGCTCTCAAACTT